AATAGTCTTATTCCTTTAAAACATGAATAAAAAAAAAAAAAAAAAAAAAAAATCAAAGTTCATATGGGCTTTTGATGCGGGACCAATCTAAATTCATATGGGTTCTATTGAATTGGAGTGTATTCACATGGTCCGTAAAAACATTTTAGGCTATATTCCTACTCGGGTTTTTATACATACTCATATTCAGTGTTGCATGTATTCACATTGGTCCATACAAACATTTTTCATATTTTTTTTTAAAGTATATTTATGAAAATTTGAAGATATCTGATGCATACCAAACTGTCTCACGACATACTTAACACCTGAATATAGCCGTAAAAATATTTTTATGAAAGGATTGGTTTCACAATGATTAGCATTTCCTAATCCAAATAATGGAGTTACTAATTATTTCATAAAATACTCCAACGCTATTTTTTTTTTGTTTTATTTAATTTCATATTATTTATTTTCTGCCACATTATTTTACTGACTTCTAACTTTATTACGATACAATGAAAATTTCTTGTTTTTAATAAGCTTATGACATTGTTTGAGCGTTGTAAATTTGCGATTTTGATTAATCGTTGTAAAAAAAAAAATGGTAAAATAAATTTAATTAACACCATTTCTATTTCATCTAAGCATAAAATTTCTCATAGTCGGTAGTCTTTAAGGTATAAATGTTACATTTTATATCTGATTTTTTTTCGTTGCATCTCCCGCTGACCTTTGTATGTCTTCACTGATTCATAGCAGTAGTTGGTCCGATCCCGTGAAGAAGTAGGTTTGAAGATGTAACATTATCCCTCCCGACCCCAAAACATTAAATTTTATAGTCCTCTATCACGATATAGATTTAGTGTTCTATTTGAAAATATATATAAAAGCATCCGATACTACTTTATATTTATAACAGACTATAATAATAATTTTTTAAGAAAAAAACCTACTAAAGCTTATTCTACATAGTCCCTCGAGTTCTGGGTAGTTTTTCGGCTAAGGCTCATGATAGTGAATATTAGAAAAAGATTAGAAAGCAAAATTACTCTATCAAATTTCAGACAACTATCAAGCTTCACGACAACGAAATACATGGAGTTCTCATGACACAACTAATTTATAACATCAATTAGAAAATATTTTGAATTTAATTATGTTTCGTAAGTTTAAGAATATTTATGAAAATTTGAATATATTTTAATATTAATGATTTATATCATTAATATTATTGAGAATGAATATTTAAGAAAATAGATCCTATATAAGAAATAATTAAGGAAATTGAGAATTTTGGAAATGAATAATTATTATGTTTTTAAATTAAAAAAAATTATATATATATATTAGGTTTGTTTGGGTAGTCTTGGTTGCACCCAATACTCTCCTACTCAACCCTGGATGATCCTTGCAAGTGACCATGGAGATTCTATCTTGGCTTCCGCCCGAGACTCTGCTCCGTTTCAAGTCCGTTCACAAATCTTGGTATGCTCTAATCAACGATCCTAAATTCATATTAAAGCATTTTTTGAATTCTCCTCAATACAATCACATATTTCTCAAGCGGATTGTGGAGATAGACTATGATAAAGATAAAAGTACGTTCTCCATTCTCAATTTTTCTCTTGATCCATACCTGTTCGTTCTGGATATAGATTTATCAGACTATCAATATTCTCAATATTTTGAAATTCATGGCCATTCTCACTGTATGGTTTGCGTCGCCGATGTTATGAATGTTTCGAATGTTTTCCTTTGTAACCCAGCAACTAGAGAGTTTCGTAAACTCCCACCGTCCATTTTTCCCGTTTATACCATCACTGATGCCTCTCCCCGTCCTATTTGTTACGAGTTGATAATGCAAGCGTCAGATTTGGGTACGATGCAAATTCCATACGATGTAAATTCCAGGGATTTTAAAGTGGTTAGAGTTGTGGATATTGTTGGACTCCGTCGTGGATATCCGGTTTGAAAAGCAGAAATTTACGATTTAACATGAGCAATGAGATTTTTGGCGAAATTCCCTTCCGAGAGAGTTTGAATATGGATGAGGAGGAGGAGGGGCCGGAGAAGATGTGGAGCATGGAAATTTTAAATGGATCGATAGTTGTGCTTGATTATATGTGGGGAGGAATTGATGATAAAAGGGAAATAAAACTAAATCTTCCCATTAAAATTTAAATAAAACTAAAATTTTAAATAGAATTAAATCTTCCAATTTTGAAATTTAAAATTTAACGATTTAAGTATAAATATGGAAGTGAAGATTTAACTTTATTTTGTAAAAAAAAAAAAAAATTCTAAATACATAAAATAATTAGTTTCTAATAGAATTCCAATTTATTTTTCATATAAATTAAATTAAAAAAAATATATTTTATTCTCTTTTTTTTTTTTTTTAAATTACAATTTCTAAATAATTATATTAATTTTATATAAAATACCATAAATGAATTATCGGAACTTTTTAATAGATGGGCTTCATAATAATCCACGAGCCCACGAATCGGTCGACAGCCCAATACAATAATAATCCTCCACGGCCCAATCCAATAATAATCCACCAGGCCTTAAGACAGACTTATGGTCTAGGCCTGAAAGCCCAATTCAGTAAAAGAATTGGTCCAGACATCAAAAGGCCCATGGGCTTTTGATTGGAATTCCAAGGCATCAAAAGCCCATGAGTTTTGATCGGAAGCCTATGAGCTTCGATGGTTCTAGATTAAAGATTTATTTATTATTATTATTTTTTAATATATTGATTTAAAGGGGAGAAATTTGATAGGGTTTAGATATTTTGTGTGCACAATTTAAACCATTTTTAGAGTTTTGGTGGGAAAATTTTTGGTACAAATTACGGTGCCAAAATTATTAATAAAAAATGTATATTTGATAGTATAAATAGCAACAAAGTATTCTCGAACACAAATCTCTTTTCCTCCTTTTGATATTCACACACAAAAAAAAGATGTCTATGATTATGTTGTTGTTCAACTTGATGCTAACGGCAAGCTATGGGTGTACATGGTCCGGGTTGGGTCGGGTTGGGGGATTTTTTTGACCCAACCCAAAAGTTCGGGTTGGTTGGATTGGCAACCCAACCTTCTATTAGAGGTGTTGTCAAATTATTATTTTTTTTTAAAGTTTTATTTATCCACAATCTATAATTAATTCGGATATAATCTTAAATAAGATATATGAAAGTTCGGGTTAAATTCAAACAAACATAAATCAAACCGAAAGTTCGGGTTGGTTGGATTGGCAACCCAACCCTCTATTAGAGGGGTTGTCAAATTATTTTTTTTTTTTTAAGTTTTATTTATCCACAATCTATAATTAATTCGGATATAATCTTAAATAAGATATATTAAAAATTCAAACAAACATAAATCAAACCGACATTTTTTAGAATTGGTTAAAGCTGGAGTCGATCTCGGACGTAAATACTCATGGACTAACCTCATTACCACTCTGGCAAATCCATTAATATAAAAGAAAATTTCTAATACTTATATATATTTTATTTGGCTCGGGTCAACCCGAGCGTTTTGCCCATGAACCTGGAACCGAACCGATTCAGTTCGGGTTCAGAAAAATGAACCCAACCCTACCCAAAATTCTAGTCCAACCCAACCCAACCCTTATAGTTCGGGTTGGGTTGGTCCGGGTTGTCGGATTTCTGGGTTGAATGTACACCCCTACGGCAAGCTATGAGTTCGAATACTTTCAAATGGTCCAACAATAGCCAACAACTTTTTGTAGCGGGATTGATGTTACTTGTAAAGGTCAACCGCCTCAAAACACGTTTACTATTCATGGGTTATGGCCAAACAACTTCTCGAATGCAAAGCTCAAGTTTTTATCATCTTTAATATATATATGAATTAAAAAAATATATGAGTCATTTTCACATAAATCTCATAATGACCTATCGAGGTATAGGCTATGTCTAGTGAATTGGGCCATAAAACATATAATAACTTCTAAAATACAAAGACAAATGCTACTATCAACTTGGCAACATATGCCTCATGAACTAGCCAGGAGAAACAAAAGGAGCAACAAAAGGATGCAAAAACAAGAAGGCAATTGAGGCTAATTAAATTAACACTAAAACTTTCATACTTCTAGTCTCTACTATGGGTATTAACCTTACATTTCATACCTCGTTTTTTTTATGCGGTTTCTATGTATTCCCCCTAACAAATTGGTAGTAGTGATCGAGTACGGTCATATTTAGAATAGCTAATAGATCATACATGCTTTTGGACTTATGAACCGAGAGTTCCAATTTTGTTATCAAACCACGAACACAACTTTTATGTTAGATTCCTTACCTAATTAACCACTACGATAGCCTTGATATCAGATTCCTTACCTAATTAACCACTACGACAGCCTTGATATCAGATTCCTTACCTAATTAACCACTACGACAGCCTTGATATCAGATTCCTTACCTAATTAACCACTACGACAACCTTGATATCAGATTCCTTACCTAATTAACCACTACGACAGCCTTGATATCAGATTCCTTACCTAATCCTTGATATCAGATTCCTTACCTAATTAACCACTACGACAGCCTTGATATCAGATTCCTTACCTAATTAACCACTACGACCGCCTTAATATCACATTTCATTCCAAACCCTAATTTGCATCTGTTTTTTCTCTCTCTCCTCAAGACCTCTTTTCTAATGGCGGCCGAGATTGTCGGAAATAATCTATCTGTTTTTTCTCTCTCTCCTCAAGACCTCTTTTCTAATGGCGGCCGAGATTGTCGGAAATAATCTCGAAATGGCGATGGAGATTCTGTCGCATCTTCCACCGGAGACTCTCCTCCGATTTAAATCTGTCCAGAAGTCCTGGTACGCCCTAATCAACGACCCTCAATTCGTATCAAAAAATTTATCAAATTCTCTTGAACACAAATGCATTTTGCTCAAGCGTGTAGTGACAAACATTGCTGGAGAAGAGGAAATTATGCTCTCTATCCTCAACTTTCCCTTCAATTCATCTATGTCTGTTATCGATCTAGATATTCCATACGATGAGTATTCCCGGTTTTATAAAATCAACGGTCATTCTCACGGCTTAATCTGTTTCGCCAGTTGTGGTGTGGATATTTTCCTATGTAATCCGGCAACTAGAGAGTTTCTTAAACTACCGCCGTCCATTCTTCTTACCACTAGACCTTCCTATAATCCTGACACTCATCGTTCAGCATGGAACTCCATTGGATTTGGGTACGATGCGAAATCTAGGGATTTCAAAGTTGTTAGGGTTGTGTATTTTTTTAACGATGCTAGGCATTTTCTTTATTATAAAGCAGAAATTTACCATTTGAGCAAAGATAGATGGAGAGAAATTGAATTCCCAAGTTATGGATATTCAAGTTATACGCCTGAATTTGATTTGTATCATGAGGGAGTATATTATTGGTGGGAGCGAAATGGTAAAAATATACTGTCATTTGACATGAGCGAGGAGATTTTTGGCAAAATTTCCTTGCCAGAGAGTTTCAATACCCAGAATTTGAATAGGGAGAATTGCAAGATTTTAGGGGTTTTAAATGGATCCATTGTTGTCTTTGATCATGAGTGTGAAGTGAATGATGAAAATACCTTCTATATTTGGGAGATGAAAAAGGATGAATGCAGTGTTATTTCATGGTCAAACCTCTTGACAATTGGCCCGATTTTAGGAATTTGTAAACCGTTGTTGTTTGTGAGCTCGGATGAAGTTTTAATGGAGGATAACGAAGCGCAAGTGGTTTTGTACAATATTAAAACTCAACTGATGAACGTGATTCCATTGAAAGGCCAAGCCATTCTAAGAAGATGTCAACAAGCTACCTTTGTGACAAAGAGTTTGATATCTGTGATGGGAGGAAATAATAGTATGAGTTATGTACGATGATGCATGCCTCGTAAACTCTTTACATGTCATATGTATTATGACATAAATGATATCTTATACTAAGTTGCTATGATATTAATTATTATTAATTTGAATTTTCTATATTAATGAATGATAGAGTAAAATTAGTCCCAATAAATTATTAAATGATTATATGATTATAATCTATAAATGATTAATTATATTATTTAAAATAAATTTTTTAGAAGTTATTTAATCCCAATACATTCCACTAGGGAGATTCTGCACCCGAAACTCTGTTCGGATTGAAGTCCGTTCACAAATCTCGGTACGCTCTTATGAATGAACCTCAATTTGTATCAAAGCATTTCTCAAATTCTCTTCTAACACAAACACATTTTTCTTAAGCGTGTTGTCATGAACAAGTCTTGGAGAAAAGGAAATTATGTTCTCTATCCTCGACTTTTCCCTCGATTCATCAGTGTCCGTTCTCGATGTGAATGTCCCATACCATGAGCATTCTCGGTATTTTGAAATTCATGGTCATTCTCACGACTTAGTTTGTGTCATATGAATGTTTTCCTCTATAATCTGGCAACTGGAGAGTGTCGTAAACTCCCGCCATCGATTCTTCCCCTCAATGAACCTCCCCGTGAGCCATATAGTTATGATTTGTGCAGGGACACTCTTGGATTTGGGTACGATGCAAATTCTAGGGATTTTAAAGTGGTCAGGGTTGTGCATGTTTTGGAAATGTTTGGATTTTTTCTTTATATGAGAATGGAAATTTATGATTTGAGTAAAGATAGATGGAGAGAAATTGAAGCCCTAGATAATGACTCTTATGCCTCTATAACTTGGATGCCTTGGTCTGAATTGTATCACGAAGGAACATATTACTGGTATTCGCATCGAGAAACAAATGATATGACAAATGGTGAAGCTTTACAGTCTTTCGATATGGGCAAAGAGGTTTTTAGCAGAATTTTGTTGCCGGAGAGTTTCAATATCAAAGAGGAGGGGTGGGAGAAGCGTAGGAGTTTCGGGATTTTGAATGGATCCATTGTTGTCTTCCATTATCCAGCGGAAATGATTGAAAAAATATTTGATGTTTGGGAGATGAGGAAGGAGGCTGAAACGGATGTTGTATTGTGGTCAAAGCTCTTGACAATTGGTCCTGTTTTTAGAATTGATAAGCCATTGTTGTTTTTGAGTTCAGATGAAGTTTTAATGGAGGATAATGAAGGACGTGATTTCGTATAATATTATGCCTATTGAAGGTCTTTCCCACAAGCTTCAAGCTACTTTTTTTGGTGAAGAGTTTGGTGTCTACAAAAGGAGGAAGAAGCAGCTGTATTAGATTTTAAATTTTTTTAATTATATTTATTTTTATTATTTTAGAGGACTTTTTTAACAATAGTATGTAAATTATGTGCCAAGTTTTAGGAACGAAATTATGTGCGGGTTTTAGGAACCGTTAATTCACATCCACACTTGTGTAACCTTTTCATTTGTCACGTCATTTTCCATGTTTAATATGAAAATACTGATAAATTTTATATTTTTATCTTATAATTATTTTCCATTTTTTATAAATTTCATAAATATTTTTGATAAATAGTTGATCTATATTATTAATTATTGAAAAATATTTAATAAATAAATGTTTTGAAAAAAAAAACACTAAATTTTTGTTTCAAAGTTCATATTAATTTTAAATCTCCGTTAAAATCCCTCTCATTAATTAATAATAAAATAAAATTATAAATTTAATAATTATAAGAAAATAAATTATAAATTTAATTCTTGATTTCAAAATAAATGCAGAGAATAATTTAAAAAAAAAGAAAATAACCAACTTAATTCTCATCATAATAACAGCCGAATGGAAACATAAAAAGAAAGGCAAGTAAATGGGTATATAATATCTCTTTTTAAAACAGGAGAGCAATGAAAAGACTAGTAGACACCAACAACAACCTTCCAATGCACGCCTTGTACACAAGTGTAAAGAGTTTACGAGGCATGCATCATCGTACATAACTCATACTATTATTTCCTCCCATCACAGATATCAAACTCTTTGTCACAAAGGTAGCTTGTTGACATCTTATTAGAATGGCTTGGCCTTTCAATGGAATCACGTTCATCAGTTGAGTTTTAATATTGTACAAAACCATTTGCGCTTCGTTATCCTCCATTAAAACTTCATCCGAGCTCACAAACAACAACGGTTTACGAATTCCTAAAATCGGGCCAATTGTCAAGAGGTTTGACCACGAAATAACACCGCATTCATCCTTTTTCATCTCCCAAATATAGAACGTATTTTCATCATTCACTTCACACTCATGATCAAAGACAACAATGGATCCATTTAAAACCCCTAAAATCTTGCAATTCTCCCTATTCAAATTCTTGGTATTGAAACTCTTTGGCAAGGAAATTTTGCCAAAAATCTCCTCGCTCATGTCAAATGACAGTATATTTTTACCATTTCGCTCCCACCAATAATATACTCCCTCATGATACAAATCAAATTCAGGCGTATAACTTGAATATCCATAACTTGGGAATTCAATTTCTCTCCATCTATCTTTGCTCAAATGGTAAATTTCTGCTTTATAATAAAGAAAATGCCTAGCATCGTTAAAAAAATACACAACCCTAAGAACTTTGAAATCCCTAGATTTCGCATCGTACCCAAATCCAATGGAGTTCGTTGTTGAACGATGAGTGTCAGGATTATTGGAAGGTCTAGTGGTAAGAAGAATGGACGGCGGTAGTTTACGAAACTCTCTAGTTGCCGGATTACATAGGAAAATATCCACACCACACCTGGCGAAACAGATTAAGCCGTGAGAATGACCGTGGATTTTATAAAACCGGGAATACTCATCGTATGGAATATCTAGATCGATAACAGACATAGATGAATTGAAGGGAAAGTTGAGGATAGAGAGCATAATTTCCTCTTCTCCAGCATTGTTCATCACTACACGCTTGAGCAAAATGCATTTGTGTTCAAGAGAATTTGATAAATTTTTTGATACGAATTGAGGGTCGTTGATTAGGGCGTACCAGGACTTCTGGACGGATTTAAATCGGAGGAGAGTCTCCGGTGGAAGATGCGACAGAATCTCCATCGCCATTTCGAGATTATTTCCGACAATCTCGGCCGCCATTAGAAAAGAGGTCTTGAGGAGAGAGAGAAAAAACAGATGCAAATTAGGGTTTGGAATGAAATGTGATATTAAGGCGGTCGTAGTGGTTAATTAGGTAAGGAATCTGATATCAAGGCTGTCGTAGTGGTTAATTAGGTAAGGAATCTGATATCAAGGCTGTCGTAGTGGTTAATTAGGTAAGGAATCTGATATCAAGACTATCGTAGTGGTTAATTAGGTAAGGAATCTGATATCAAAGTTGTGTTGGTGGTTTGATAACAAAATTGGAACTCTCGGTTCATAAGTCCAAAAGCATTAAGTTTTTGGGCCTAAAATTCAAGCTCATGGGCTTTGGATAACCAAATTGGAGTTTGGATAAAGGACAAATTCGCGTCATAGTTCTATGTTCTATTGAATTGGGACATCGAATTGAGCTTTTGATGCTAAGACAAATTCACCACATGTGTTCTTCTCCTACTCCAAAACCTTGTCTCTCTCTCTTTTCCGTCTGTTATTTCCCTCACCCGTGGTTGTCTGATTTTGTCGTTCTTGTTGGTATAGTTTCTGGTTGTTTTCTTCAGCAAAGTCGTAGATCGCCCTCTCACGAACCTTGGATCTAGAGCTAAAATTCTTTCAACGAGCCTAATAATAATAATGATAATAATAAAATAATAATAATAATAATAATAATAATAATAATAATAATACGAATAATGCTAAGAATAGAAAATAATAATAATAAATAAATAAATAAATAATAATAATAATAATAATACTAATAATAAAAATAAAATAAATAATAATAATAATAATAAAATAAATAATAATAATAATAAGAATAATAATAATAATAATAACAACAATAATAGTAATACGTATAATATTAATAATAATAATAAAATAATAATAGTAACAATAATAATAATAATAATAATAATAATAATAATAATAATAATAATAATAATAATAATAATAATAATAATAATAATAATAATAATAATAATAATAATAATAATAATAAAAATAGAAATAACAATAATAGTAATATGTATAATAATAATAATAATAATAATAGTAATAATAATAATTATTATTATTATTACAAATAAATAATAATAATAATAATAATAATAATAATAATAATATAAGAATAATAAGAATAATATAATAATAATAATAATAACAAAAATAGTAATAACAATAATAGTAATACGTATAATATTAATAATAATAATAAAATAATAATAATAATAATAATAGAAATAACAATAATAGTAATATGTATAATATTAATAATAATAATAGTAATAATAATAATAATTATTATTATTACAAATAATAAATAATAATAATAATAATAACAAAAATAGTAATAACAATAATAGTAATACGTATAATTTAATAATAATAATAAAATAATAATAATAATAATAATAATAATAATAATAACAAAAATAGTAATAACAATAATAGTAATACGTATAATTTAATAATAATAATAAAATAATGATAATAATAATAATAATAATAATAATAATAACAAAAACAGTAATAACAATAGTAGTAATACGTATAATATTAATAATAATAATAAAATAATAATAATAATAATAATAATAATAATAATAATAATAATAATAATAATAATAATAATAGTAATAGTAATACGTACAATATTAATAATAATAATTAAAAAATAATAATAAAATAATAATAACAAAAATAGTAATAAGAATAATAATAATAATAATGATAATAATAATAATAATAATAACAAAAATAGTAATAACAATAATAGTAATACGTACAATATTAATAATAATAACAAAAATAGAAATAACAATAATAGTAATATGTATAATATTAATAATAATAATAATAATAATAATAATAATAATTATTATTATTATTATTATTATTATTATTATTATTATCATTATAAATAATAAATAAATATATAATAATAATAATAATAATATTAATAGTAATAATAAAAATAATATAAAAATAATAATAATAATAGTAATAATAATAATAAATAAATATATAATAATAATAATAATAATAATATTAATATTAATAGTAATAATAATAATAATATATATATAAAAAAATAATAATAATAATAAAATAATAATAAAATAGTAATAACAATAATAGTAATAGGAATAATACTAATAATAGTAAATAATAATAATAAATAAATAAATAATAAAATAATAATAACAATAATAGTAAATAATAATAATAATAACCTCGGGTGAGCGGGTCGTGGGTTGGGCTGCGAGGGGAACATGTTGGGCCGTCGGTTTATTGGGCCTAAAAGCCATCAATTGCATGCGCGACACGTATCGCATTCAGACGTCGGATTTAATGGAGCAAAGAGATATGGACCGTCGGATTTAATGGTTTGCGGGTATCCGATTCGAGGCCGACCCGGATCGGACGGATCCTTTCTTTCTCGCCGATTTCCAAACCTCTTTACGGACGGTGACGACGACGAACACGTGGTATGTGTTCGGTTGGGATGGATGTATTTAAGGCGATGATCACTCTTGCGGTGTTGCTTGGTCGATTTAGCAAATGGATCCATTGTTGTTGCTCTCATTATGAAAGGCGAACCGGAAAGCAATAGTATCACATTTAAAAAAAATTCATCATTAATTAACATCTAAATGAGATATTAATAATATACTAAAACTGGAGGGGCATTAATTAAGCTAAGGGGGCGGTTCAGTCCTCCTCCTTAAATACCCATTGTCTACTTCTCAACCCTTTACCTCTCAACTCCCTCCCCTTCTCCTTCTCCTTCTCCATTTCCTTCAACCTCATGGGAAATTTCGTAGTTACCTTTTTCCTCTTTTATTTAGCTTTTTCATCTGTACAAGCTAAATTCCAAGAGGTCGAGCGACCTAAACCTAAACCTAAACCTAAGTATCAATATGAATACTTTCAAATGGTACAGCAATGGCCGCAGTCCATTTGTAATAGTGAGCATTGTATAGGTAAGCCTAAAGCTATGTTCACCATTCATGGGCTCTGGCCCCAAAATTACTCCACTTCACTTATTTGCAACGGGTCTCAGTTGGCCGACGAATACGTAAGTTTGTTTTTTAATAATAATAATAATATTATTATTACCGTCTAGGTATAGATGAGTATTTGATGCTTTTTATATATATATTTTTTCTTTACTCAGATCAAATCAATTAGAGAGCAGCTAAATCTATATTGGCCAACCCTATTGTTTAAAGATAACAAATCATTTTGGAATCATGAATGGATGATTCACGGTGAGTGTTCAGACCCACCCTTT